ATATTTTTTAATGTGTTGTGACAGATGTGACATATTTTTCTTTATCAATTTGTAATCATTAGAAAGCAGATTTTTTGGCTTTATGCAGCTCAACAGGGGTAAATAATCTAGATAACTTATTCAGTACAGAATTTGAAGGAAAACATTCATTTTGCATATTACAACATATTTTTAATATTAAAGAATATTCAACTTATATTTCATATTTAAGAATATATTGTATTACAAAATAATATATTGTTCATAAAAAAGTCATATTTATTCATTTCTCAAGTTGAAATATTTTGTCAATTTAATTTATAATAATTTAAAATTTAAATATGTTCAAAACTGTTCAAAAATTTATTTTAAAATTAAAAGACTTTTTTAATTTGTATTATTATTATAAGCGTAACTGAATTTAAATTATTTACCAAAGAAAAAGGATGCAATAATTATTTTCAAGTTTAAGCATATTATTACATGTTACGCCATTAATGAATGGATGGTTAATGTAAATATTATAAATTTACTAAGTTGAATGTTAACTTTAATTATATATTTTACATAACATGTTTCTATTGTAACTGATGTACAGATTTTTAAACTATTTTAGTAAAAAACATATTTTAAGCATATTTGACTAGTTTGCGTATTATTAATAGAATATTTTAAGGTTTTAAGGACAGAATAATCATAAACCTTGTACTAATAGACGGACTATAGAAGCAGTGTGAACAATAGAACTAGAGGGTGCAGCTGGCGGGACTGTTGTACTGTGAATGTGAGCATTAATTAGTATAGTATTTTAAAAACTGTACCAAACCTACAGTCAATTGTGATAAGTTTGTTTAATATTTTATTATTATTGAATCACTTTCTCTATTCCAAATTTCTCATCGACTCAAAGACAATATACTAAGAACTATACTTAAACTAAAAATGCGTATTTAAATTTTATATGAATTTTGAGTACTAAATCAATAGAGATTGTACAGAGTGGTAAACCCAACATCAAATTTTGCTGCACACTGTATTATGTCTTAATGCGACTTAAGATATACGAGATGATCGTCTATTAGTAGAGGATTTGTAAGTTAGTTTTAGTACTATGTTTATAATATATTAATACATAATTTTTTATTTACCGACTATCAGGAGACCAACAAACGCATAAAAATCCACCAAAATAGCTTCGAGCCATTCCAATCAATTCCATTTTATCATAATGGAATATTCTGAGAAATCCATCTTGGGAAACAACTGCCAAATAAAGATTACATGGAGAAAATGCAAACTCATTGATACTGTTATAGTCGCCGCCAATTAACCATCGATACATTGGATTTCGTGTGCTTTTTGTCTTGCAAGTATGTACTGTAAAACCTTCACCAGATTTCACTTGTTGATAACTTGGCGTTGTAGTGCCACATGTAAATGTTTCGTTATACAAATACAATTGACCGCTAGCATGTGATGCAAGAAATAAATGTTTTGAATTTGGTACCCATTTAACGCATGTGACTTTCGTTTTATCAATGATTTTCTAAAACAAAAATATAAATATATTAGAAATTGATTAATTACCTACCCACATGTAGTGTTTCCATCTAACCAAAGTATAAAATGGACAATTTAACATTCAGAAAAATCAATTTTAATATTTTGTTATTTTTAATATCAGAATTATATTTATTAAAAAATTGAAGGGTAAAAATAGTATATTTGGCAGTTCACAAGGTTTTTTTATATTTAAGGCTGTTGAATATATGCAATATTATGTATCAATTGTCAATTCCTGTACGAGTGTGTGCGTAGTGACTGATCATAAGTGTGGGTGAGTTTCCTGAATAATAACAAGTCTAGGTACGCTGGCATTGCGCCCCGGCATCGAAGGTTTCAGAGAAAACGATTAGCGGTTTGCACGTACATGCATATGTCAATGCATTTGGTGAAATAAAATATTTTGTTCCAACGAAGACACTAATTTTTATCAATCTAGACCTAAAAGCCTGACAAGATAAGCATACTTAAAATAATCGGATTTCAGTTCTGTAAAAATATTTGTACTTATCGTCAGGTTTTTTAGGTTATTGTGGAAGTCAATTTTAGAATAGCTGTTTAACTTTCTTAAAAATAAGCTAAAGTAAATCTAAAAATTAAAAAAAAATTAAGAAACCAATTTAAGATTTAGAAACAATTTTTAAAAAAATATCATAAATTGATTTCCACAATAACCTAGAAAAAATGTTGATCAACTCTAATCTTTTCACAGAATTGAAATCTGATTATTTTAAGTATGCGTAATCTTGTCAGACATTTAGGTCTAAAACATTAAATAAATATACTGCTTCCAACCGTCTTAAATGTTGAAGCAATACATGAGCATTTTAAAATTGTAAAAAACTTATAATTAACTCTTAAATTAAATATAAAATATAAAAAAAAAAAACTTTTCAAGAGACTCTAAACAATATGTTTACCTTAAAATTTGATAATAGGTCTAATTTTAAAAATTACAGAGTAAATGGATTCTTCTGAACATAAAATTTGCTATTGCTACATAAGTAAGAAGGAGACAACATACATTATGTATTACTAATAGGTTGTACAAAACGCGACATAAAAATATCATAGGAAATTAATATGGGACATTAAATTTTGAATGAATTAACCGATGACATACTGAACACATTCTAATGTAGTTACATATAAAATACCATATCATATAACTTTCATTAATTAAAAATATGTTAAGATATTTAAAAAAAAATGTATAGGAATCATGACTAGTAGTATTAAATAAAATGTTTAGTTTTTAGATTATTAGTCACTAAAATATATAGGTAGCTTACCTCTTCATTAAATAATACGCTAACATCTTTTCTAACAGGATCAATTAGCTGTACCAATCCTGTTGAAAAACCCACAATTAATGGTAGCGAATCTTCAGTTATGGCAGTTGAATTGAAATCATGACATGTCGGACTTATTCCTTTGTATAGTTTTTTATCTATGGGTTTAGTCAAATCCGCTCCCTGTAAATACAAATTATTATAAATATTTGTGTTTATGTTATGTTGTAGTTTCTACAATCCGAGTTTCATTCGGACAGTTGTACCTATATGATTGTTTAAGCTGTAAATCTGACTTAAAGTATGTTTAAAATTAAAGTGTAATTTAAAGTTAAGTCTTAGCCAACCATAGAGAATGATGATAGTGAATGGACACGTATGAAAAAAATAAGGTCATAGTGAAGGTGGACTGTATTTAACTATGAGAAGTCTAGAGGTCTAAAGCTACATCATTAAGCGGCGGGCACATGGAAAGCAAATAGTCGAAATGTCTCACCTTTTTCGTTCCTTTGTAGTAGAAAACGTACAGCTCGCGTCCGATGTTGAAGCACATGCGATCGTTGTTGCCGTTGGTGTCCGACGGCGAGTAGCCGACGAACGACACCCGCACGGACGTGTTGGTCTGCACGTTGTAGCCGATGCGGTTCGGCCGGGAGTACGTGGCCAACGTGAGCAGCTTGTAGACGCCTTCCCTGGTGACGAACTGCGTCTTGAGCTGCTCCTTGCCGCAGCCGTCCAGGCTCATGGACATGATGCACGACGAACCGTAACCGTCGGCCGCCGAGTTCATACCGGTCAGGCGTCTGTCACATCTCGGCCGGTCAGCTGCGGGACACACAGTACACTGTCGATCACGACCGGACGCGACGAGACGCGAACGTCAACGACGAACACGCGCGGCACATCGCGGCCGGGCGATCTCTCGGTCGCGGACGGATGGCGTCCGTCGGACGATCGGTAATCGTGCGGTCGCCGCGACTTTCCACGTCCCGGGCGGACAGTCGACTGACACTACGAGTGCCGTCGGACCGACGACATGACCGTCTGGGACGCCGGGTGGCTCGATTCGCGACGACGGCACTGTGGTCCGGTAAGCGGAGTTGCGGCGATTGGCGACGAACGAATTATGTTACTACAATAGTATTTATTATTATCGTCGTTCATCACCGGTGGTGGAAATACGGGCAACGTGACTGGCGGTGATGACGATAAACACTAAACAGAAGTCCGCGAAAGAGCCGTTCCGAAAATATCATCACCATGGTAAACTATAGAGTACGTCCGTTTTATCACGGTAGTGAACTTGCGGATGAAAAACTCATCGTCGGGTCGCGTGTTATCAGCAGCTGCAGCAGCAGCTCATCGGACACGAACTACTACAGATAGGAGCACTACAACAGACCACGGTCTTTTCGGAGTGATAAAATTAATATTATTTGTCATTGACCACAACGTTCATTTCATTCACGGTGTCGCCGGCTGAGCACACAACGCGGGACGCAGATGATGTTTAAATAGATATTGTAATACTCGATTTGGATTCTGGTGTGGAAAGATCGTCCGCGAAACGATCTAGATTCTAGAGATATAGCCGAGTGTTATCAGCGTTCAGCGCTATCTCATAAACCACAGCACGATCATAATCTACGAGAACGTCACGAGACGTACGTGTATGTTCTTTATATTTATCTGTAAACCACGGACGTGTACAACGCAAAACAGTCGGTTAATATTGTTTCGACTATTGGCTGTAATTGAATTTTTGACTTTAATAACAAAGGAAGAAAATTGTAATATAGTTTACGATCACAGTCCACAGATTTAAGTTTGTACGGTGTAACGAGGAGACTGATGGCAAAAAAAAAAAAAAATAGTCATGGTAGAAGATGATGATATTGTATTAATGCAGCCGGTGACACCGGCAAGAGACGACTCGTGACTCGTGAGCCGTAAATACTAAATTATAATGGACTCGCGAGTCGCGGACGTGAAATATAATAATATTGTTCGTGGATCATTCGTCATCTATTTAGTATTTGGCGGCAGCGGCGGTGTTGGTACCACTGCCGCCACCGATATCACGTAATCCACAGATTTTATATTTCTCGCGCGTTAGTAGATAATAGATAACACATAGCGTGCGATCAGTCTCAGTGTTGTGTACTTGTGTAACGCAACATTACGCTTGCGTTCGCTCTTCTCAGACCTTAGACGACGATCCGACGTACGAATTGAACGATTTAATGTTGTAAATCTGACGGCCAACGATGAGTTTTTCACAAGTAAGTTCCACAGCTAATAATTACTCAACCCTTTCGTTGTGAGCTAACATTGTTGACAAATTGTAGAAAGTTGCCGGAAGCAGTGCTTCTTATATGTCACCAGCGACAAGTACTAAGGAATTCACTTTAAAAGTATCCAAGTGAGTAACGTACAGTCATACACGTTTAGTTATTTATATTACGCTGATGTGTCCGGGGAACGATTACCGATTTTATGTAGGTTAGGTATACCATTTTATCGTGTTAGTGACATTATAATATTTGAAAGAGGCTTCTAATGAATTATATTTTAAAAATCAAAAGTTATTGTAAGTAGTTATGACTATCCAAATTAAATAAATCATTTTAACGATTCCAAAAATATTTTATAACTTCTGAATAATGTGTTTGTTAAAATATGAAATATAAAGATTTTTAGATAAGACTTTTCTTGTTATCAATATATTTGAAGTCAATTTAAACTTATACAAAGAGACAAGAGTAGGAAGCGACTAGTGAAAAGTATAAAAATTAATATTGCATCAAAATTTACTAAGACAGTAATTGTCAAATCCATTCATTACAATTCATGCAGGTCTAAAATAACTGATAATTATCAAGTACCTATCCTAAATTTCACTTAACCAGTTTGTATTTGTATAATGATATTTTATACTCAATAATAATTAGTTTAGTAAATTTTTCCAAAACATAAATTGAAATGTTCCCAGATTACCTAAATATTTTTAAATTAATTTATTGTATAGTAGATAAGTTCTTTCATACAAAAATACAAGACTTACATTAGTAATAAACAGTAGGTACATTGTGTCAATTAATAAACAATACTTAGATTGCAATTACATAAGTATGATAAAAGAAATTATTTCAATTGGTATTAAAATAAATAAAGAAGCTATATTTTTAAAAATTCATACTTAATTTTGAAGACTGCATTTAACACTATCACACTGCAATAAACTAAAAAAAATTGTTTACAAATAAAAAATTCAACAAAATTAAATATTGAATAAAACACTACCTATCTACTTAAATATTTTTTTTTTACTTGTTAAGAATCAATAAAACTTATTGGTGATTAAAAATGTTTAATAGCTATTCTAGGAGCTGTTTTAAAAAGTCAAAAAATGAGTTGTATACTTGTATCATCATTGATCACATTTTAAATCATATTTTAGAAGTGAAATGTACTTACATGGGTATATTTTCAAACTATATGCCAAAGAAAGACGTAACTCAATTAATTTTCATTTTTTGTTTTACTTGGCCATCTGAATATTTTATGTATATCTTTTGTTTATCTTAACAAAAAGTTATAAATTTAATCAACTAGCGAACAATGTTGTATACAGAATTAGGTTTATTTTTAAATGAAAAATAAAAATGGTGACCTTACATGATAAATATATATTCTCTGATTAGGTTTAACTTAGTAACAAAATTAATTCTGACTTATGTATAAAAAGATTCTGATCTTTTACAGTAGGTAATGTATGATAATAGTTGCTGTTGATATTTTTGGTTTTATTCATATCACATATTATTATAACTTAAAAGCATTTCGCTACCACATTATTGTCTCTGTCTTATTAACGCTTACCTCTTACCAAAATGTAGACACAGCAGTTCCTATTTTGTGTTATTAATATTAAGATTGATTTACCCAATTTTTAAAAATGCTCATAATTATCTTAAAAATTTAAATATTGTAAAAAACCAACAAGACAACATAGATAATGTTCTTACCTTTAAGTTTGTTCAGTTCACTCTAATATTAAAAACATTAGATCTATGGAACTCAAGTTTTTATATATTTCTATTGCAACAAAAATAACACATCTCAGTTAAATAGCATATTAAGTTTCAACATTTTTATCTATATTATTTAAAATAAATTGAGCTCTATCCAACATGACTAGTTAGTGTTTGTGTATAACAGTTTGCTACCATAATAATAATAAAAAAAAAACAATTATTTATCTATATCGCATAATTTAACAATATTAATTTGTATTAATTTAATAGGAGCTCTGATGTAAAATATCAGATGATGAAATTCAATAGTAATTTAAACATCGACTTTGACAAATGGTCTCATGCCAAAATGGAGAGAGATACCAATAAAGTAGATGGAAAAATTGCAGAAGAAGATATGCCTAAGTACCTATTCAGTGTTTTTTTTTATGTATATATTGTAACATTATAAATCATTATGTTTAATTTATATTAGATTTGGAGCTGGAAGTGAATTTGGTCGCGAAGCTAGACAAGAAGCAAGGAAAAGAAGATATGGAGGTAACAAAAAAGTGTCAGAATCTAGTCCTTGGACATTGAAAGTTGGAGGGAAAAAGTATGTCTTTTTTGTTGTTTTTATTAATATGATAGTACATAATTGGTTATTGCAGATTTAGAGGTGTGCGTGAAGGAGGAATTACTGATAATTCTTCATATTACTTGTTTACTCATGGAGAAGATGGTATAATTATTGCACATAAACTAGAAGAGTGGTATAACTTTCAACCAGTACAACGATACAAAACATTAACTTCTGAAGAAGCAGAAGAAGAGTTTGGAAGGTATTTAGTTAGAAAATTATCAATTAATTATAGCATAAATTAAAATTATTAAAATCAAAAAAATGTTTATAGGCGCAATAAAGTCTTGAATCATTTTACTCTCATGGTACAAAAAAGACTCAAAAATGAAGAAGAGGAAGACATTGATGAGGATGATAAAACTAAAGGAAAAAAAACACCAAAAAGTCGTAAAAGCAAAGGTTTGAAAAACTATGATACTATTTCATAATATTTAATGCTGATATATTTTCGTTGGTTATATTAGAGCTCAAAATATCAGAAATGGAAGAATGGGAGGAAAGCGAAGAAGAAGAGTCTGAAGAAGAAGAACAGGACGAGGAAAAAATTGAAAAGAAAAAGAAACAAAAACGTAAGGCAAAATGTTGCTAATGTTAGAAATTCTAAATGTTCACAATGTTTCATAGCCATTTTCTATTAATAAGAAATAACCTAAATAATTATGTTGATTATTATAAATCGCAATTTTATTTTGATACATTTTTGTAAAATAACATTAATTATGTTAGGTTATGATTTATAGTAACCAAATTAACAACACTTTCAATAATTATTTTATAGAAAAAAGCAAAGTCAAAGCTAAACCAAAAAAAAAGTCCAAAGGGTCTGACGAATCAGCAACTGAAGAGAGTGATGATGGTGATGAAGAAGGCAGAGAGTTGGATTATATATCTGATTCTTCAGACGAGTAATTATCTTGTAGTATTTATATATAGTACGTTTAAAACTAAATACCATTATTTTTCTATAGTGTGTCAGACGATGAAGCTAAAGTTACTAAAGAAATGCAGGGAGTGTCAGAAGAAAAGGCTCTACACAGTCTCTTGACATCTGATGAGGACGAAGACGAAGACGCAGAGAAGAAAGAAGAAAATAAAGATGAACAAAATAATACTGATGTGGAAGAAGAAGATAAAACTAAAAAAGAAGAAAACAAACCTAAGCAACCCTCACCAAATAAGAAAAAGAAGAAAAACACTGATAAAAAAACAAAAAAAGAAACGGGTAATTATTATTAATATATTTGAGATCAAATATTTTTGAATTTGATTTATTATTTGATACAAAAGTACCAATCTGTTTATTGTTATGTATTTTATTTTATTATTTGAAGACTCAGATAGTGATAGTTCTGTGGACAGCTCAGATATAGACAGTGAGCCAATTAGAAAGAGACCATTTGGTTTTGTAGATGGAATGAAAAATAATGATCTAATTGGCTTTCCGGGTGATTCATCTAATCAAAGGTAATATTAACCTATTGTAAGAGATAGCTTAACTGTCAACAAAAACTTATATTTCAGCATGGAACCCGCTCATAAAAAAGCTAAAGTCGAATTTTCACCAGTTACAATGACTGATACTCATGGCATAACCGAGGAGGCTGTCCGTCGATATTTGTCACGAAAACCAATTACTACAACTCAACTTGTAACCAAGTTTAAAAATCGTTCTAATTTAAGTTCTGAACAATTGGTTAGGATTATAGCATTATTATTAAAGAGAATCAATCCTGAGAAAAAAATGATAAAAAATAAAATGTACTTGTCGTTAAAACACTAAAAATCCTTACTAAAACCATATTTGAATATAGATTTTTTTTTTTATTGTACTTCAATTGCTTAAATTCTGCAATCACACCATGTCATACGCACTAGTAGTCAAGAATCTAGCTCTGATCATTGTTCTGATGATTTAATTTGACTGTCTGTGTAAAATGATCTTCTCATAGGTCAATGGCTGATTATACTATCTTAAATTGTGATTCATAACATTTTTTTATTGTTAATTTATTTGAATGTTGTCAAATAATTTTTATCATAATTTTTAGTTATTTAAGAAACGTGTAGTATAATTTGTTTACCCAAATAATAATTATAACGTTGTTTAAGAGGGTGCCATATTCATATTTGTTGTTTTCGTATTTTAACTGTGTAGCATAGTAAATGTATGTTAAGTATTTCATATTTTTTGTACAAATAATAGTACTAAACATAGCCAATAAATTTGTATTTGTTTCCATCTTTTAAATATGCAGCATTCTAAAATTATTTACAGTAGTTCATATTTTTTGGCAAACTTATGTGAATTGCTGAATATATCATAAACATAAAATATTTTATACGCTTATATAACAAAGAAAAATATTATGAATGTGGCGTCCTCTTAGGTAATAATTACATTTTATACTGAAAAAAGCAAATATCAATTATTTTATTAAGGTATTATTTTTATTATTTGTAGAAGCACAATTTTTTAAATGTTCAAATTACTTAAAAATATATTTTCTCTCCCTTTACTCAGCATTTATTAAAAATATTATCTGTTATTAAGAGGCCAAGTTATGATTAGATTTCAAATTAGTACAATTAATTTTTTTTAATGTTTTTATAAAATTAAATAAATTATAAGAGTAAGTGTATTTTATAAATGTTTTAATAGATTCTATTTGAGGTGATTTTTGTATCAAACAACACTTAATTATAATATGCAAACTCAACATCAACTATTGATTGTTAAATGGTCCATCTACGTTTGATATTAGAAATGTTTAAGCTTTTAACTATTTTTGTATAAGAATTTCAGCGTTTATACTCTTAATTTTCAAAAACCATAACTATTAAAATATTACAGTTAATTAAAAAATTTTAAAATCAATGGTACCTACCTGCTTTCGCATTTTTAATTATATTTCAAAAACCCGTATGTTCTGAAAATTCAATCAACTGTTTATGTTAAAGAAATCACTTCAAAATCAACTAAATTGAATCATTTTTTTAAATGTTTTAATTATTTTAGAGACGTGGGAATAAGGAATACAACACTCCCATACATCTCTGTGACTATTTACAATATACTTACCATCTGTACTATTTAGGAATTATATTAGTATGCTGTGATTACATATTTCTCTCCCTATCTATGCATTTGTGGCAGTAGGTTTTAAATCCTTTGAAATGGTTAGAAAAGTAATTATAATATCTGTGAAAAATGGATTTGTGTTACTAAACGTCTGTGGTAGGTAACTATTAGTTATTGCCCTATAAATAATAATTTTCCAAAATATATGCAATTAATTTGAGATTAAAAGCAGATTTCTGCTAACAATAATAAGCTAATGGTGTTCACTGTTCACTGTTCACCTAATTGAATGTAAAAATGATGCAGTATCAACAACTTAGATAATAACATACTTGACACATTTTGTATTTGTTTTGAAGTACCAAATTTTGAATAAGTTTATATTGGGTACAAACGGTGCAATTCAATATCACTATTTGTTACCTATTTATAAGTATTTAACATATAAATAATAACATTTTTTATGACCTATACAATTTTTCTTTTTTCATTTCAGCGTATAAAACTATCATTAGTCCTTTTTATCATTGAACAATTTATATAGGTACCTTGCAATAATTATTTATATTGTGTGGAAAAAAAAATTTAATATGTTGAGCTCTTAAAATTGTATGAAATTATGATTCATGTTAACATGAGCATGTGAAATACTGTAATGGTCATCTTACAACAATAATTAAATATTTATTTTTTAAACTGTTTTCTTAATAAATGTATGCTACTATTTAACTCAGATAAAAGCAAAACAATATTTCTTTTATGTACCTACTTAACCTAAAATATTTTTCAAATTTATGCATTTTGTTTCATATTTTTATCAAAGTTTTCAAACTCAAAATCACCAACATTTCCTATTAATTTATAGCAAAAATTATTTTGCTTTTTTTATGCTCTGTAATTGATTTTTTGGAAATGTCTAGAATCTAGACTCTAGATCATAAAACATGTTTTCTTGTAAGTACCTACCCAAATAGAAAAGCTTGAATAGGTACTTTATACAGGTAGGTATCCTACCAAGTTCCTCATAAGTTTCTCCTATCAAATTAAAAAATATCATAAATATTAACACAATTGTTTTTCCTAAGCGGTTCAATTCAAATTTTGAAACCGTGAAATATCGCAAATTTGTTATTAATATACATGTCATAAAATTTGAAATTTTTATAGCTAAACGGCTCGAGAATTGAATACAACGTTCGTCGTGAATTTTTCTCAAGGGATCCTCAAAGTCTCAAAAATACAATTGCACAATTTTTTTGCAGAAACTTCAATTTCAAATGTCGACAATATAAATATTGGATGGTTAAACAAAAAATAATAATTTTAGTACCTACTTACTTCAAACAATATTCGTAAGTATTTGAATCTTTCTGCCACTATATTATAATATTTTTTTTCTATTATTTTCTTTGCACAATAAAGTCTCCAAAGTACGTATGTAGGTAGGTAATAAATTACCTTCGAATTTAAATATAAAACTTTTCTTTCTTATATTAAACTGATCTAATCAATGCCAAGGTACCTATACGGCTATACCCAATATCTACTATACAGGAATGCAGTAGAACGACTTCCCCGATTCTTTTTACTTAGGTTATGTTATAAAAAGAATAGCAGCAAATACCTATAGGTACTTTACATTTTCACTGAATATATTGGTATAATAAGCTAGATACGAATAATTTTCAAAACACGTTTTGGCTTTTTGAAGTACCTAACTTTATCTTTATTTTTTTGGACATTCGAAATGTTCAATTTTTTTAGATTCACATTGATAAACTTAATAAACAATAAATTGTATGCTCCACCAAAACGTTTAATCATTAATTATACCTATACGGCTATACATTAACACAAAATTACTCGTTAGTTGCACTTACTGGAGTTTAAAAATAAAAAATTGCCACAATATTACAATAATTTAAGTTCATATAATTATTATATCATTTTTTTGTTCTAGGTATTTACGAAAAATGTCTATTTTTCTTTATTTAAGGATTTTAGTTATTTTATTGTAAATTAAAAAATATTAATCGTAGGTCGGTATTAGATATAGGTTCTTAAAACGTCGTCATAACTTTTATATGGGTATTAATATAATATTATTATTTTCTATAGATATCACGCTATAGATAAATTTACAGAGTGACATTTAAAAAATATTTAGAATAATTTTAACCTCGATCAATTGACTTTCAGAAATAGGAGCAAGTTTAAAATCCAGTTACAAACGATAGGTTGTGATAGAGTATTATTATAGCTTTATGAATGTGAATTAATGCCTTAATTAAAAACCTGTGAAAACAATTTTGAATTTCAAAAAAAAACAAAACATTATGAAAATGTGAAATGCATTATAAATCCCAAAAAATTAACTACAAAACCAAAACTTTAAAAATCTATTGAAAGAAATTTTATTGAAAAGAAAAAGTTACATTTTTATTTATTATAATTAGTTACAACAATTTATAAGATGAGAATTAAAATAATGTTCATAATATGCGTGTAAAAGGATTTAAAATTAAAATAACAGATAGGTATTACAAAAAAAAAAATCAAAAATACAAAATCGAAAAGTTTCGAAATTGAATTTTTTGGTAGTGTTGGTCAGTACCTTAATTCAAACTTTATGTGTAGAAAGCTAAATTACTATTAAAATATATTATTAAATTAATTGAAATACTACTAGAATAAATTTTTTCCCACACTATAATATTTGTCAGTTTTAGAATGGTTGGAAATAATTGACGTGGGTCAATCACATTTCATTCAAAGAGAAAAACTATTGTTCATAATCTATAATGTGCCCGATTTAGAACAGAACAATTTTTTTTCTTACAAATATAAACTATTTTTTAATGAACAAAAAAATAATTAGGAATAATTCAAAAACTGAGTATTTAAAATAGTATTCGAATAAAAAAATAGCATTTGAATATCTACATTTATTCGAATACTTTACAGGACTGGCAGGTACCTATAAAGGTTTACTCAATATAGTATATTAGGTATAGTACGTTTTACTAGGTAGGTACCTACTTATTTTGGTGTTCGTAATTAATATTTGAATAAATTATGATAGTAGGTACTATTAATATTAATATTACTATTACTACTCATTAATTTTGCTCGTCGATGTTAATACTATTCAGTATTCTTTCGGTCAGTTTTGGGTATTCAATTTTATTTTTTAAATTATATCTTAATAGGTAGGTACCTCCAATATTTTATTTACTATGTGCGTATGGTTAGAATATTTAACTATGCTTTACATTGTTCATTCTTTCTAATCATTTAGTAATAATATCTAATAACATATTTTATAATAATGTAAATGACCTCACCTATATTTAATCATATTTAACAATAATATGTTTACTGACTATACGTACTGACAGCTGATAAAATTCGTATTATTTAGCCTTAAACAAGTCTAACACCCCGGTACACTACACCAGAGGTTATCAATAAATATACATAATATTGTACATTACTATATGTACATTTTTTTTATATACATTTTGTAACTATTTTTATTTTTTTAATTTATAGACCATTTGTTAATTAAACACAAAACACTTACCGACAATGTATAGTACTACAACATAGCCTGCATATTATCACTATCGTTATTATAATGATATTATCACAGTTTTTCCTATTATTACTAAACACGTACAATTACGGATTCGTTACACTATTATTATTAACTCTTGCACAAAAATGAAAGAAAAAAATTTTAAAAATGTAAGTGTTGAACATTTTCAATGTTGCGGAAAATTTCAATGAAAAATATATTTTTATATGAACATTATTAATCTCACAGCACTAAGTTTACCTATTGATTATAATCAATACCTATAAGTACATTGGACATTAATTTATGGAAATGGGTACAGGCATGGGTACTCATATACTTGCATATAGGTAAGAATTCCAAGTATATAGGTAAGTATCCAAACTACATATTAATTAGAATAATGTCATATACCTAGTAATGTTATATACCAATTATTGGTTAATTTTTTTTTTGAAAATTGACGTTTCCAAAAAACAAAAGCCCTTTTTTGTGATACTTCGCGCGGTCATTTGTTTTTGTCGACCTTATCAATATAATCAATGTAATATTTATATTTACAAGTAGACATTCGGTAGGTTCTAAGCTAAACCACAATAACAACAGACAACTACAACCAGAACAATGGTCAGAGGACGTCAAACGGTTTATGACGCGAAACAAAATACGGAAGTATTGTTCTTAAAGGCATTTTGAGGCGAATGGCCACCTGCAGGAGTGCAGTGTTCAAAAGTGGAAAAGAAGATGGCAGCGGTTTATTGCGTCCAAGAGAGACAATCTAACGATCTCGAAGTCAGGACAAATCAGCAATGGACAATGCGTAGGTACTTAAAATAATGTTGTGTTAAATGTTAATATAAGTTTAGGTAACTTGCGATCACTGATCGCGCCTCGTATGCAATTGCCAGCCAATTGGTAACGAACAGTGTTTGTTATGTGGTCAGGATACCTATCCATGTTAATGCGTTTGAATGATAAATTAAGTAGCTAGGTATGGTTATTACCTGCAGGATTACGAAAGTTGATCATCATCTTGTAATGCTTCGGTACCTAGGGATTAGAAAAATGAATTAAGCCCAAACACGTTTTGATTTCTGAAGTACAAACTAAACACAAACTGCACAGATTATAGGCACCGTTTTTAAATGTTTATCATACAAACAATAAAATGCATATTATTCTATCGACGACCAACACGTCATCCACGTCACATAATATA